CAAACCGCGAAACTTATGGTTTTTATTGGAGTATTCAGAGCAAAGACGAGTAAAATATACTTAATGTGAACCTCGAAAGTTGGCCATGTTTGATGCCGCGTGTCTTGAATTTGGTACTTGCGAGGATATTTGCCGCGATTTCAGCGCAACACCACAAAAATGCCCAGCATGTGCTGCGGTTTCCGGATTTACCATTTTCTTCCATCCGACTGGTTGAACTACTCTTGTGGTTAGATAAACCACTGCTAAACCCTACGACTTGGTTCGGGAAACGACATGGGTAATTCTTTTGTTCTTTTTTATGTATCTATAGTGATTTCCCATGGGCAGTTTCACTGTGGGAATAGAGGTCACACACAAAACACAGACTTCCCGTGGATAAGGTCTCACTTTCCCGTGGGCAAAAGGTCTAGTGTAACCACAGCTATTATCGCTCCATCGCAACACAAACGACCTAATACCGCGGTGAAGCCGAAATGTCGATATACTAAAATGAGCATTACAATTGACACGCGGCGTAAACAAGTTATATCTAGGAGCGCGTCAGTTTTCAAATAACACAAAGCACCTTCCAAATGTTCTGAAATGTTTAAAAAAAATCGTAAATATTTGGAAAAAATCAGAAGACTGCAAGACAACCTCTCCAAATTTTATCTTGAGTTCGGTTATCACCAAAATCTGAAACTTTAAAGCATTCTTCTTGAGACAATGCTACTTGACCAAGGACGTTTAACAAATATTGGACAAAAATTTTTTTCGAGAAGTTATCGAATGTCTAAGAATTCAAGAATAACTGCGACTACTGCCTTCAATTTTTTTAAATTCCTCACAACGAGTAATACACATATTCCCAGATTAATTTTAGTTGTTATTATTGAACTATGTTAAATATATCGTATTATATATTCCATTTGCATATGAAACTGTGCAAAATTTATCTAAAACTGTTGATATATAAATTAGGATCCAAACAACCCGTGTCGGATCATACCTTCGTAAATGATTAGATTGTTAAAATTATCATATTTGCTTGTTAATTTGCTCTGAACCCTTCTGTTGGGCTGTATTATATCTTACAAGGCTTTCACAAAACGTGAAGATTATTTCTGGTTACAATAACTTCTCTTATAGAATTCAGAAAAGAGACAAACGATCCCTGAAAGAAACCTGTGCCAAAATATGCGAGTGTTTACATTACAACGTTTTACAAAAATCCACCTAAGCAGCTACTTAAAGAGCAAGTTGAGAGATTTAATCTCCGTCTTATGCTGTGCAAAGCTGCTTTCACCTTGTTGGACATTGCGAATTGAAATACTAGCTCGGAGAGATATATAACCACAAAAAAGGCGATGAAATATCACGAAAGTAAAAACTTTGCCAAGATGGAGAAGATTTAAAATAGATTGCAGACTAAAAAAAATTGAGGCTAAAATTGTCAATACGCAGGGAACATGACATTGGCCTTTAAAAACTCATAAGCGATCCCACTTGGCCGATCCAATAAACAAAGTTTTCCACTGAAATATTCCATGCATTGGATATAGAAGAGATTTGTCTGCAATATTTCTCAGACTAATACATCTATAATTCCCTTTAATCTTGTAATTTCTGTGGATTTGCAGTTAATCTTGGCGTAAATTGACTTCCTTGTATCATTCCTTGCTTCATTTATGCCTCTAATTCGATTAAAACATAAGATTTTTTCTCCATCTCTACTTTAGACCATATATTCCTAATAGGATACCTAAGATGTTTGAGACATGAAGCGCTCAGAAACCATCCGAGGTTAAGTGAAATTCGGCGCAAGCTTTCGTCTGCTAACTAGAGCATTTCAACATACTTCTTACATTTTTGCAGCTTCTTTTTTGTTGTTGCGCAATATCACAATTCGAATGAGGGCGTTCCTTCTGTAACTTGACGCTTAACCCAAATCTGCACGACCACATCTAACAAACACGACTATACCTAAGCAAAGCGCCTACAAATTCGTAACACACCCCAAACATTCCTATCTCTTTGTAGACTGGAAAATAATTTTCTGTACTAACGTAATTTACAATGGATCCACGGAGCATAACCAAATTTCCTGAGCTCCACAGTCGCGAAAGATAAACAAAACATTGCCCCCTAAATTGATTAGACACTCATTATCTCATCAATCTGCGTAGTCAATTGTTGATTCACCACCGATTTGCGCCCAGCAAGCACGTACGCTTTCAAAACACTCGTTATAAAGATACGTCAGGGTTCAAAGGTGGCATGAATGTTACAATTTTTTGTGCACTAATATAATCTATCCGTTCTTTTTAAATCAACAGGGTCAACTTGAGCAAGGTTTAAACTCTCGATAACGATGCTCAAGAACGAACGTGTCAGAATATTTTAAGGCATCAGTAAGACACAGCTGGATTCTTTGATCAATAAAAAGGGTGCTTATAGAGTTACACCTCAACTACAACACAACTCCATTGTCTATTGAAACCTTTGATGCATCCTGCAACATCCTGGAACATGGTGCGTTCCCGCCGCACCATATTTGGAGTTACTCTTTAGGATCCAGACTCGTCAGACTCAGGATGGAAGAGTTGAATGTGATCTGGGTTCCAGTAAAGTGTTGATGATTTGTAAACTAAAGACCAGACATATGGGATGAAAAACTCCTCTGGCTGTTCTTCCTCTACGTATTTGAACTTCAGCTCAGGAAATTTCTGCAGAAAGCAGGAGTTCGGAAAGAAATATCAAAAATAATTAACCTTCACCAATGACGTTGCATTTCGTTTAAAAGAGAAACGACAGCTTTTTTCATTCTGCATCTAGTAAAGAACCTTAAAACTGTGATAACGGTATCAATAAGTTCAACGGAATCATGACTACTGTGCAAGTAAAAACCGTCATCAACTTAAGGAAAGGAGATAAATCTTAATAGATCCGAACTGGGAAGGGGCAGGGATTGGTACCCAAACTGAGGTGCTTTTTGGAGTTGTCTACACGTAAAGCTTGGGTAGAAAGAGAACAGAAAAAGGTAAACCAGTGAGAGGTACTCCTGTTACCTTAAGTCTATCTCTTGGCCACTGAAGTGTTCCTTGCTTAATGACATCGAGCACCACTCCAACAGACAATGTCTGGTCTGGGTGCTGCTCCAGCCGTGCACTGAAGAATGCCAACACCTGAAACCAAATTCGCAGTAGTCTCCTCTTATTTTCAACAATAGATACGAATCACTGATGGATTCACCATTAAAAGAAAATCTTTATGTCATTAGCAACAACCGCCATATAGGGGGGCATTGTGTCCAACATAGTTTAACAGAGAGGTAAATACATCTGTTTTGACGCTACACGATTTCCTTCTCAACAGCTACGACAAAGTGTTGTGCCTAAACTTTTTTTAACTCGGCAGCAGTACGATCTTTCAGTTTAAAATCCGACCACATATCGAAGGAATCGAAATTACCATGAAATTAAGGTTTAAGTTTGAAGATTCCATTTCGGTACATACTGTGCCATCTTCAAAGTTCCGCGCTTTCTTGAAACCATTAAACTCCCAAGATGTGACGAGTACTTCTCCCTTCAGATTGCTATACCTTTCCGTGGAAACTTAATTGAGTGAGTCCAGGTATTTCATCAACACAAAACCTTAATGTCCTTAATGCTGTCAGTAAGTTTGTATATTCTACTCACCGGTTGGTATTGATATAATGAGGAGAGGTTAAGTGTCCCTCACTTCTCACCTACTCACAGTTAGAGGGTTACGTAAACGACTCACTTACCGTGTCTATATTCTGTATAATATCTTGGAAGGTTGGGTGCGTTCTAAACTGCGCGAACAGTTCTCTTCTGTGGAGCAAGGTATATACCAGGTTTGGATTATGATGAAGTGTGTTTGTAACACACGAATTGATGATCTCTAACACCATACGGATCACTTCTTCAAGAATAGCCAGGTCCGCCAGCTGAGGAAGAAAATTGGAAACGACTCGTAAGGGAGGGATGGGAGGGCGAGAAGGGGTACCGCCGTAAAGGCGTATACTGTAAAGTGCGTAAGATCTGTTTAAAGAAAGAAACCGAGTTACTCACGAATACTACTCAAAACAAAGGAACACATGAAAACTCAAAGCAAATGTATGTGAAAGGTCTTTCACAAGCGTTTCAATAACCTAAACCGCCGCCTACAACATCTCTTAGCATGCCCCCACACACCCCTAGAAGGAAGGGGTCCCCCACACACCCCTAAAGGCAAAGCTACCTGTTACCCCATCTGCAGACAATTATGGAAAATGTTATGGAAACCGAGTGACCTTAGTTATTACTGTCTTGTTGTATATCCGACGACATTTTCCGAGACCAATATCTTACAGCAAAGTCAAGCAAACCAATGCAATAGGGAACTACTTTCAACGATCAATTGAAAAGTACCCTACACTTCCTCTTTGTATTGTTCTTAAATGCTTTTTTCTCGTGACCGTGGGCTGCTTGTCAGTATCACCAACACCCCACACCCGGGTCAAACAGTTTGCCTTTTAAGTAAAACCAAATGTGTTTCTATTTCTGTAGTATTCTGTTTGGTTATGCAGATACAGGTTAAGTGCCGCCTCTTTTTTCCATTAAAAAAAAAAAAGAAAAGAAACTCATCAATTAGTACAAGACAGACATAAGTACCCCACGCAGCTAGGTAATTCCCTCTATTTAGAAGCTAAATATGATTTATTTAATTTTTGCGTCTAAGATATCTTGAAAGAGCTGCCAAACACAGCAGGAGTGTTATTAATCTTATTGGGCTTTTCATCTCGCAGGCTTTAGGTGATTTACGCAAATTCAAGAATAGAATATTCGCACGTTTCTAATGAATTCGGCGCAGCAGGTAGTGTAATTGTTTGGGTGAGATATGTGTTGGTGTCCTACGAGCAGATAAATAAGTTTTTCCCTTATTCTTTCTGCGGTTTATTCGCCTAAAGGCCATATGGCTATTACTAAAAATTTCCTGCAGTTGCGCGAGCTATTTTCAGTACCGCAGAACATTTCTTCCGAAATAAAATAATCAAGCAAAATAGAAAAACAAATTAAAGCAGAATCACATATGGTAACGTTTTTTCTAAACCGATCTTAGAAAATCTATTCCAAGTTGCTTTTTGCCAGTCTAAGTGAGACTAACATAACACTTTGTATTCGTCGTTGAGCAGACGAATATAACAAGTCTAATACAATAGCTTAGCTTAATCGTTTTCTTTTGCCGGTTTTATCACTGAGAGAGTTACGAAGTACAGCAAGGTTGATCCTACAATATTATTATTCCATCATAAATTACCGGTTTCTGGGAGTTCCTATCATCACGCCGATCACAGCGATCATTGAAAAACACCCATAATACGCAGTGGAGTAGCAAATGGCGAATTTTGTCGATCACTCGATTAGAGTATCAAGTCTTTTCTGTGTGGTGTATCGAACATCAGCGATTGAATCCACCAACAATTATCTAAAAATCAAATTCTGAGATACTCACATGGTCGCTGTTGTGAGCTCCATTTGCATTTTGTTGTTCGTTGCCACTCTCTGCTTGTTTCAGGAGCTCGGTCACCTTTGCGTGCTTCTTTGACAGTAGAGCGTACAAACTAGAGTTGTAAATAAACACAAAAAAATGAACAACAAAGACGGAACAGAAAGTACCCAATTTAATCAGCTGATAGCTCTCCTGTTTATAGGCGAGCACTTGGGGAAGCCGTTTAGATCCGACACTTTCCCGAGTCAAGATTCCATCTACTGTACAAAAGCAAGAGGAAAATAGCACATCTCTCGAGGTAAGACCACAAATCAAATAGATCTGAGAACATTCTAACACAATTTGAGTAGATCCGTCACGAATTTCAATTCGTTTCTTGCGGGTAAAAATTTCTAATCAAATTAGAGGAAACGATACGATATATATTCAGACGAGAGGTCATTAAAATATCAAATAAAGGGAAGAGAGAGTAAGAACATGATGATGTGATGGTTAGAGTTGGAGAGTGATGATCAAACTTTTTACGTTGCACAGACTTAACTTTCGCAGTAAGCCCAGCGGCTTATTTGGTCGCTAATAAGATCAGTAAAACCCGCCTGAGACGATATAATTGATATTTGGATACTGATAGTCTAAAAAGGTCGAATTCCGCTATAAATCATTTTGAGTATGACATGTGGAAGGAGGTAACTGTGCTATATCCTGTTGTTCAATCAACTGCACGGCTGAAAAACAGTGGCCACTTGATATGCGATGAAAGTTAGCGGTTTGAGGCTATTTTGATTCAAGACCGTAAATGCACCGCTTCAGGGCTGGCTAAGCGGTACGGCGTTCTACAGACTACACGTTCTAACAAAGAAAGTAACTGTGGCTATTTATTGAAATTAATAATAACAATGATGATGATGATGATGATGATGATGATGATGATGGGAATTTAGCAGTGGCCATTCCACGGGGTACATCTTCTTGTCCACTGTTTCCACGATTTAATTTGGAGTTTGAAAAGTTCCATGTTTGTTTGAAAGAAGCTTTGCGACAGAATTTTGTAAACGCAGTAGAGTCAGTAGTTACATCAGCAACTGCCAAGAGTGTTAGATACGAGGCAGCTGTGCTGTAAGGCGAAACCCAAATAAGAAGAGCCTGCTTGCACATTAAACGGACAGCAGTAAGATGCCTGATAATGACAGGCGCAGGTAGACCACCGGTAAAGGGCTTTTATCAAAATCCCTGGAAACCATAATGCAAGCACCAACGCAAGAACCAACGCAAGCACAACTGCCGATGAAGGGGAACGAAAATATCAAAAGGAGCCCGAGAAAACTTAGAGCAAACCTGAACAAACTGGCTGAAGTGGAGGAAAAAGGACTTGAATTTTTGCAGCCTACTGGTTGACTCTAGGCGAGTTCTTTTAAAGCGCAACGAAACAAAACCAAAGCAACCCAGTATGACTTCATCCTGTTCTAAGCGCGCGAAAGTTGTTCAGAGTGGAAAAAAAAGGAGAGAGGGTTTAGAAGAGCCCTAAATTTTTCGTTGCACGCTTCTTTATTGCTACCAGTGTATTAAAACTGCCTCTGGAGGTGTTTACATGTAGTTATTTTTTCCCACACTCTATTTAACAATTATTCCACGAGCGCGTGTTGGATATGAGATGATAGATAGCCAACCAGGCGCGTAGCGCCGAGTTGGCTATAATCATCTCATATCCAACAAGCGCGAGTGGAATAATTGTTTTATTAAAAACGTTAAATTACATTATTAAATTTTATTAAATTTTTAGCTCCCATTTAATTTTAAGCTGACACGTACGCTTACCATATTTGTAGATTATGGTATATTGGCTGATATACCATAATGGCTAAGCCAATAAAAAGTCTTGAATTGCATTATCCAATGATCTAGTTTTTAATAATAGAAATTATTGTATGACTATAATCGGAAGCACCATTACCTGACTATTCTCTGTGTAACATACGGGTGAAGGGCATGAAACTGTGACGACATGTTGGCCAGTGTAGCCAGGCAGTTAGTATGAAGATATTTATCCTGTAGTAAATATAAACTGTGTTAGTTGGCGACTAAGTCAGTGCATGATGTATTGATCTTCCTTTGTGAACTACGATTATAAAGAAATTACGAGAAAGAAGAACCCTCTAAAGTTTGCCTCCCTCACAACGTGTGCGTTCGTAGCTCAGTTGGAGGTAGCGCCCAGCTAGAGTATCATCTGGGATCATAGCTTTAGTTGATAAGAATTACCAAACTATAAATTAAAGTATTTATAATAAAAAGAGGGTTCGACGCAGCTCTAACTCTTTCCTTTAAGATGATAGTTACGTAATTTTTCTAGAACCAGGGATGCTTAAGTTTTAACATAAAAAAGTTTATCTTTGCTGACTTCCATAGAAACGTATTGTGTCTTTGCACAATTTTCAAATCTAAATTTAATATGTGTACTAACCCTCATCTTGGTCATGTTATACTGTATCGTTCTGAGCACAACTAACACTAGTAGACCCCCGAGGGTAATATTTGTAATGACTCGTTCTGTATACCACGGTATTGTGGGTATAACCTGCAAGAAAACACAGAAAATAAAACGCCTATTACTTTCTGGTCCAGGGGCAGACAAATAATTAAAGTGAAAAATTTGAAGATAAATGCTGCACAAGAAGATAGAGCAAGCATCATGATACATCCGTAGCCCTGAACACTGTTGACTTTAGCATGTAGGATGTTTTTAACATATAGAAGCTCTGTTGTGGCTACGTGTACGTTCACAACCGCTTAGTTCCGCTTGTTGTCCAGTAAGGCATGCTGCTGAAGACACTTAACGTTTCACTGCCAAGATCTCACTATCAATTCTCCTTACTGCCTGTCGTACAAAATCTTATGATGTTAGTTTGGAGAATTTGGCACTGGAACATCTGATAATCCGCTAATTTCTATTTTTCTTTATTCTCATCTCCTGTCTGCTTGATAGTGTATTTAATTTGATATTTTAAGGAGAAATTCTGTCGTGGTCACAAGCGGGAGTTAAAAGGCAAATAGTAAAATTGTACACCCTGTTGAAAACTTACGATCTCGCAAACCACGCCTTGTTTGACGGCATATAATTGTTAATGCCAGATGAATTATGCACCTTCGTCGCTTATTCTTCCTTTTGTGGGGCTCGTCTTTCAGAGCAAACAATAATTTCAGGTATCTGTTCCATTTTAAATAAGTTTCCTTCTCCCAAAATAACCAAAAACACATCGCGATACTCCTCGTTTAAAACTGAAGGTAGAACATTCAAAAATGACCTGGATTTTTCGAAAACCTCAGGTAACAAGCTAAAAAAACAATGTTTCAAAGTAGAAATCGTACCAGCTCATGCACTGACTTGTTGAAGTTGTCATCCTGGCTCAAAATCAACAGGATGATGAGGGACATATAAATATGATGCGCATTGTGATTATCAGCATTATAAAGTAGTTTTAGAATCGGCATCACCTGGCAAGACAGAAAAAAAAAACAAACAAACAAACAATAAGATTAGTAGCTGAAAAGCTAAAAAAATTTCATAAAATTATGAAGTTCACATTCATTATTGCATCTGTATCGTTTTCAGTAGACTAAGTAAAATGTTATTGGAACCTCCGTCATTGTGTTGTGTCGTTGGGCGAAACACCTCGGTCTCACTGTGCCTCTCCGCCCAGGGGTTTACATGTATAAGAGTACCAGTGACCTGTCTGGAAAATTTGACAAAATGCTGGGGGGTGGGGAGGAGGATATCAGCATGTAGGAGAAGTAGCAATGCTGGACTGCTAGCTTCATATTATGAAAAAGTGAACATGTTCTACCAAAATTGCACCATAGAAACGAAATTTGTCTGAGTGTGGCATTTGGTAGTACTGCATTTTGAGTATAGTTAGGCAAAAAAAAAATTCCAAGGGCTTGAAATTTGTAAAACAGTCTTGGAACCTGCTGTCAAATACAGAAACTTAGTTCTTACCAGGTTGTCAATATCTGTCCTTGACAGGATAAAAGATGCCACACTAGGATTGCGATGCAGTAATAGATACAACAGAAGCGTTGTTTGATCTTTATGCAAATCTCTGTTGGTAACCAAAAACACCCATTAATTATCTATTACATGTAATTTTAAGCCATAACAAGCTAATGTGATAAGATGTAATGCAAAGAAGGCCTTTGTACCACAGTGACAATATCATCTCCAATGTGAACTGAAAGGCTGTAGCAGCAATTCAGCACACTACATTAGAGTGGTGTATGAGTTTTCAATTTAGTAAGGTTTGTAAACAAGTTTTCAAGACTTAAAAAAGAACTGTCAGAGTGAGTACCTCAAAAGAGTTGCCAGGATATTATAATAATAATAATAATAATAATAATAATAATAATAATAATAATAATAATAATAATGA